AGGTTGATGTATATGTTAAACCAGTGAGGAAGAGGTGAAGCGAGAGGGATAACTGGGCCCAACATCTTTCTTCTCCAGCAGGTGGCGTTTTCTTCTTCATTTTTTCGCTCACAAAGCGAGGAGTTTTTGTATGGAGGGAAATGAGTGTTGAATTTGGTTAAGAGATTTTTTAATGGTTTATTTGCTACGTGTGGCTTATTTGATCGAATATAAGTTTTGTCGGGATTGTTACGACTACTTATATAAGTAGAATGTGACATCCCGGCAACTTTGAGAAAAAACATTATATTTCAGCATTGTGCCTGGTCGTCACTAGTTACCACAGCCACAAAGTCATATACCCTGCCAATTTCTACAATTTCTCTTCTTAAAATGTGATTTTTACCCTAACCTTAACCACACTGCTAACCTTATGCCTAACCTTAAATGAAGAGCAAAAAGCAACAAAAAAATCATGAATTTTTACAATGGCCAATTTTGACTTTGGCTGTGGTCAAAACTGTTGTGCCTGTTGTTCACACGCGTATCTGCCTTCTTACGGGCTAGAATGGTCCCACCTGATCTTGACCCCTAGATAGTATAGGCCTACAGTTTATGAAAACTAACTTGCGCAGCAGGTTAGGAGAATTAACGTAGCAGGATAGAATAATTTAGGTTAAGGTTAGGAAAAGGGTTAGCTAAAATAAGCTTTATCCTATCAAGATCAGGATTTTGAGAGTCTGACAGCATTTTTGTAGAATAATGTCAAGAGAAGACCAGAGTGAGCTGCATGGTCACTTTCTCTGCTAATTTGCCAAGTGCATGAGCTTCAACAATTGTTAATACCCCAAATAATGCCACAACACTTACACAATAAAGGGGGAGTATGTGTTGTGATATCAGATAATTGACTCATGAAAATACAGGTTTTGTGAGTATCTCTCTCTTTCACTTTCTGTCTCTTTCTCCTCTCTTTTTCCTTTCACATCTAAAGTTACGTTATAGACTTTGTTAAGATAAAAGCTTTTCTGGATGTAGTGTGGAAAAAGCAACACAAGGATACATGCATTACCTTAAGCAAATATACTTTATTTATGCGGAAGTAGCAAAAGTATTCTAAATTACATCTGAAACATCGGCACACAAAGTAAACCATTTTGTTTTGATCTCCCTGTTCCGGAGGCGCACTTCAGGTCATTTGATTAACATTACATCATCAAACTCAGCAATCCTATGAGAAACAACATGCAGTCATCTAGGAGGTCCAGTTCAACAGCCAAGTTCAGTGCCATCTTTCATATACAGTACCAGTCAAAAGTTTGGACACACCTACTCATTCCAGGGCTTTTCTTTATTTTTACTATTTTCTACATAGTAGAATAATAGTGAAGACATAAACTATGAAATAGCACATATGGAATCATGTAGTAACCAAAAAAGTGTTAAACAAATCAAAATATATTTTATATTTGAGATTCTTCAAAGTAGCCACCCTTTGCCTTGATGACAGCTTTGCGCATAATCTTGGCATTCTCTCAACCAGCTTCATGAGGTAGTCACCTGGAAAGCATTTAAATTAACAGGTGTGCATTGTTAATTTGTAGAATTTCTTTCCTTAATGCGTTTCAGCCAATCAGTTGTGTTGTGACAATGTGGGGGGGGGTATACAGAAGATAGCCCTATTTGGTAAAAGACCAAGTCCATATAATGGCAAGAACTGCTCAAGTAAGCAAAGAGAAACGACAGTCCATCATTACTTTAAGACATGAAGGTCAGTCAATCCGGAACATTTCAAAAACGTTTAAAGTTTCTTCAAGTGCAGTCTCAAAAAACATCAAGCGCTGTGATGAAACTGGCTCTCATGAGGACCGCCACAGGAAAGGAAGACCAAGAGTTACCTCTGCTGCAGAGGATAAGTTAATTAGAGTTAACTGCTTCAGAGTTCAAGTAACAGACACATCTCAACATCAACTGTTCAGAGGAGACAGCGTGAATCAGGCCTTCATGGTCGAATTGCTGCAATGAATCCACTACTAAAGGACACCAATAATAAGAAGAGACTTGCTTGGGCCAAGAAACACGAGCAATGGACATGTGCTATTTTTGGTCCCAACCGCCGTGTCTTTGTGAGACGCAGAGTAGGTGAACGGATGATCACTGCATGTGTGGTTCCCACCATGAAGCATGGAGGAGGAGGTGTGATAGTGTGGGGGTGCTTTGCTGGTGACACTGTCAGTGATTTTATTTAGAATTCAATGCACACTTAACCAGCATGGCTACCACAGCATTCTGCAGCGATACGCCATCCCATCTGGTTTGCGCTTTGTGGGACTATCATTTGTTTTTCAACAGGACAATGACCCAAAACACACCTCCAGGCTGCGTAAGGGCTATTTGACCAATGAGGAGAGTGATGGTGCTGCATCAGATGACCTGGCCTCCACAATCACCAGACCTCAACCCAATTGAGATGAGTTGGACCGCAGAGTGAAGGAAAAGCAGCCAACAAGTGCTCAGCATATGTGGGAACTCCTTCAAGACTGTTGGAAAAGCATTCCTCATGCAGCTGGTTGAGAGAATGTCAAGAGTGTGCAAAGCTGTCATCAAGGCAAAGGGTGGCTACTTTGAAGAATCTAAAATCTAAAATATATTTTGATTTGTTTAACACTTTTTTGGTTACTACCTGATTCCATGTGTTATTTCATAGTTCTGATGTCTTCACTATTATTCTACAATGTAGAAAATAGTAAAAATAAAGAAAAATGCTTGAATGAGTAGGTGTGTCCAAACTTTTGACTGGTATATAATTCTGATTCAAATTACATTTAATTACCATAAATAATGTATTATATTAAAATATATCCATGCAAGTTAACAAAGGACAAGGTGATATCAAAATCTCAAACACAACAAAACAAAGGACTAAGGAGGGTACCGAGGGGGACCTACGATCATATCTATGAAAATATATTCAACAAATATAAGACAAAATATATAAATACATTTACATGTATGTATATCTATGTACATCAGTAATATATCTCCATGTGAACGTCACAAATTATTCCTTTCTTCAAGACCGTTCACCTGCAGATATGAGTCTTGGCGATAGTTTGGTGAATTTCAAGCACATGGTGGTATAGCAGTGGAGTCTGCTGAGGGGAGGACGGCTCATAATAATGGCCAGAACGGAGGAAATGGAATGGCATCAAACACATGGAAACCATATGTTTGATGTATGTGATACCATTTCACCAATTCCGCTCCAGCCATTACCACGAGCCTGTCCTCCCCGATTAAGGTGGCACCAACCTCCTGTGTCGTGTTGTACCTGTTTTCAGATCATAATCCTCATCAAACCTAGAAGCTGTCATACAGCGACAAATGCACAGCAGCACAACATGACATCTGTCCATATTGTGCATGGTATTATGTCACTGGTAAACATTTCAGTTAGATGTGCCACTGAAGATATCTTTTCAACCTAAATGTATTGAATGCTGCATGGGGATATTTGTATGATATTGCCCAAAGAAAAAAGTTAGGAGTCCGACTTATAGGCTTGGTAGATATGTAGATAAGTCACTTTTCATTACAAGCTTCCAGTGCAGACTTCTGTAAACCACTTCGCTTTAGTCTGCCCTACAAGATACATTTACCTCTATTGACAGAGGGATGTGCAACTGTGTACATACCATCCTAGAAATCTGCCAAATGTGCCTTCAATCAAACAGAAAGAAACAACATATTTACATTTTAAAGCTCATCATTATTGCATTATAAATTATTTGACATTTTTAAATACTCTGCTTCCTTGTGCATCTCTACCTCTATGAATCATAACACTGGGAGTACTCATTAGTACAGAAATGCCTAATTTCCTCTGTGTGTCGGTGGAACAGGAAATCCATCCTTTAAACAGGAAGTCCATGTAGGCAATGTACATTTGGTCAAAGTTACTTGGAACAAGAAAGTCTGTAGGAATCCAATATTGTGCTGTAGTTCATGGTTGTGCCCCTAGGTGGCAGCACATTCTATTGAGCTCCATGAGTGGAAAAAATGAGTTTACTGTTTCACAAAGCTTGCTTCATTTGACCAGCTGCCTTAATAATCAGCAAGTAGGGACACTCATGGTCATTGAAACAGAGACCGTCTCCCACCTTGGACAGACACTACATATAATATACTTCAGTGCAGTTTCACTGAAGAGGTTTGACTTGGCTAAGGACACATTTTCTTCCATAAATTGCGACTCTCTAAATCAAGTCCATCATAAAGTAAATGCTCAGAATACCTTTAGTAGAGATTCCTCTTTTGCAAGAGACAAAAGATTGTTGAAAGGATTTTTCCCCTAAAAGTGACTTTAGACTGGAGTCTCATAAAATGCCAAGGGGTATTGGTGTCACTAAGCTCTGCAGACAGTATCTCCAAAATGAGCTAATCTTTGAGACCAATGTGGGTTGGTTTGGATTGAAAATAAATAACCTTCAATAAATTAATAAATAGAATATGTGCCTGCGTGTATTTACAAAGCAGAAAACATTTAATTTAATATTGTTCAAAGAACACTATTCCAGTAGACAGTATCAATTCTTATCAGACCGGCTTTCATCAAAGCCAGTTAGCAGCTAATAAACATATTACATTATAAATTATCATCAAGATCACAAGGTAGAATATAATGCAGTTTCAGTCACCTTTACAAAAACCCAAACAAAAAAAAATCTTCACATCAAAGCAGGCAGTAGTCGACAAAAATTGCTTTGTTCACGAGTCCTGTGTGAGAGCTTTTTACAAGTCAGTTTGTGCTCCTGCATGTGTGCCCAATTATCTCCTCTCCTGTTTAAACCACACACACGCTACTCCATATTGCACCGACCATAAAGAAAAGAACAAAATTAAAAAACTGATGCTTTGAATAATAATGCAAATATCTGAGGTGCAGACAGATCCCGCACAAGCCGGACCATCTCCTGGAGAGAGGGAGCAGGAGGACGAGAAGGGAGAGTGAGAACTGGGTCTCAGCGGTCTCTGCAGGTGGGCAGGTTGACGAAGGTGAAGATGTTGTACTCAATGAGGATGGAGAAGCAGAGAAAGATGGAGTACATGAGCAGACACACCAGGCCCAAACGACGGTCCAGTTTCCACCCATTCAGATGTACCCCCAGGACCTAAGAGAGAGGTGGGAAGAGATTAAGAAATTATATTTATTTAGAAGTATATTTCATTCTTTAAAATCAAAGACAAATAAACTCAGCAAAAAAATAAACGTCCCTTTTTCAGGACCCTGTCTTTCAAAGATAAGTTGTAAAAATCCAAATAACTTCACAGATCTTCATTGTAAAGGGTTTAAACACTGTTTCCCATGCTTGTTCAATGAACCATAAACAATTAATGAACATGCACCTGTGGAACGGTCGTTAAGACACTAACAGCTTACAGACGGTAGGCAATTAAGGTCACAGTTATGAAAACTTAGGACACTAAAGAGGTCTTTCTACTGACTCTGAAAAACACCAAAAGAAAGATGCCCAGGGTCCCTGCTCATCTGCGTGAACGTGTCTTAGGCATGCTGCAAGGAGGCATGAGGACTGCAGATGTGGCCAGGGCAATAAATTGCAATGTCCGTACTGTGAGACGCCTAAGACAGCGCTACAGGGAGACAGGACGGACAGCTGATCATCCTCGTAGTGGCAGACCACGTGTAACAACACCTGCACAGGATCGGTACATCTGAACATCACACCTGCGGGACAGGTACAGGATGGCAACAACAACTGCTCGAGTTACACCAGGAACGCACAATCCCTCCATCAGTGCTCAGACTGTCCGCAATAGGCTGAGAGAGGCTGGACTGAGGGCTTGTAAGCCTGTTGTAAGGCAGGTCCTCACCAGACATCACCGGCAACAACGTCGCCTATGGGCACAAACCCACCGTCGCTGGACCAGACAGGACTGGCAAAAAGTGCTCTTCATTGACGAGTCACGGTTTTGTCTCACCAGAGGTGATGGTCGGATTCACGTTAATTGTCGAAGGAATGAGCGTTACACAGAGGCCTGTACTCTGGAGCGGGATCGATTTGGAGGTGGAGGGTCTGTCATGGTCTGGGGTGGTGTGTCACAGCATCATCGGACTGAGCTTGTTGTCATTGCATGCAATCTCAACGCTGTGCATTACAGGGAAGACATCCTCCTCCCTCATGTGGTACCCTTCCTGCAGGCTCATCCAGACATGACCATCCAGCATGACAATGCCACCAGCCATACTGCTCGTTCTGTGCGTGATTTCCTGCAAGACAGGAATGTCAGTGTTCTGCCATGGCCAGCGAAGAGCCCAGATCTCCATCCCATTGAGCACGTCTGGGACCTGTTGGATTGGAGGGTGAGGGCTAGGGCCATTCCCCACCCAGACTTGCAGGTGCCTTGGTGGAAGAGTGGGGTAACATCTCACAGCAAGAACTGGAAATCTGGTGCAGTCCATGAGGAGGAGATGCACTGCAGTACCTAATGCAGCTGGTGGCCCCCCCCCCCTTTGTTCAGGGACACATTATTCAATTTCTGTTAGTCACATGTCTGTGGAACTTGTTCAGTTATGTCTCAGTTGTTGAATCTTGTTATGTTCATACAAATATTTACACATGTTAAGTTTGCTGAAAATAAACGCAGTTGACAGTGAGAGGACGTTTCTTTTTTTGCTGAGTTTACATGATAGAGTCACTCACTGTGAGGAAAACAGACCCCAACAGAAGTCCCACAGAGAAGATGAGCCCTTTGCTGTTCAGTTTAATCTAAGAGAAGAAAGGGTTATTAAACAGGAGAAGAAGTTAAACCATGGGGTTGGGAACTGATTTCCAACACTTTTGCACCAGTATAAAGTGTACACCTGCTATTTCACCAAAGTTACACCGCCAAACTGATTTATTATATGGTCTTATGCCAGCTCTTCTTTATTTGGGCCCTTTTGAAATGTATACAGTATCCATAAGCTGTTCTCTGTGTATCTCATTCCTACATTAGACCCTCAATACACAACTCAATTCCCTAATACACAGTCAAAGCCTTCATTGAGAATAATCATGTAACACGCCACACTCCAAAAGCAGCAAAGCTTGTCTGTCTGCTCCTGGGAACAGATTAATGTAGGCATTCCTTCACGGCCACAGCACCCCCACGTGCGTTTGATCTAGTGGGGTTATGGAACACTGGGCTACAGGTGTATTTCTCTTGGACTGCTGACAGCTACTTTTTTCCTATCTCTTTCAGCTGTTAGGACCCAATCTCTCATGTCAAACTGGAAGATATACGTTTATCTACAGCGATCACAAATAACAGATGCGCCAATGGCTACGTAAACATGGCATGACACTGACTAATACTGTAAGTAAACATACATAACATTGGTGCCATTTGACAGGAGCAGAGGGCTCTGGACAGAAGATCAATTGTGTCATCTCTCACATTAAAAAGCAACATCAATATTACCTTCACAGAACAGCCTATCACGTATAAGTGTCAGATGTCAGTTTTTATTGTGCATTTCTGATAGAGGTTTACTAAAGACCTTACACAGCCAGGGTTAGGAGAAACAGTGTTTGTTACTTACATAGGAGCCGTAGTTGATGGCCAGAGTCTGCAGGGCCCAGGGTAGGCCCAGTCCAATAAGGATATCAAACACATTACTGCCTATAGAGTTAGACACAGCCATGTCCCCAAAACCTGAGAGACACAACGAGAGGGAGCGAGAGAGAGACAGAGAGAAAGGGATGGAAATAGGGAGAGAGAAAAAAAAGAGGAGAGGGAGAGAGAAAGAGAAATCAATAGACTGAGAAGTTGGTCAACATCGGTAACATCGATAAAGAATTCTGACTTGCTGAGGTAATCAGGTCGCCACAAACAACAAACACAACAACAACAAGCAGACTGTCATGGAATGTGTTTTACATTTCCCTCTCTCCGACAAACTCTGATTTATGAAAGGGGAACGAGAATTAACACATAAAAGAAATCAAGGATGGAGGAAGGAACCACGCTGGGTTCTCTTCAGTCCACCCGTCCCCGTCACTCCCACACGACTCGGTCACAGTGACAGATGACAAGCGCTCCCCTCTTCCTCATCCCTTCTCTCTGTTGACCATGTACACAGAGTGTGGAGCTCTTTGATTCCTGGGTGTCTGTTCATGGGGCGGGGGAGCAGCAGGGCAAACAGCACTGGTAGAGAAAGTACTCTGTGTGTGTCCTCACCTTGCCGTGCCACTATAAGACTGGCCATGCAGTCAGGGACACTGGTGCCAGCTGCCAGGAAGGTGATGCCCATGATGACGTCAGGGATACCCAGAGTAAACCCGATCACTGTCACCTGAAGGGAAGAGACACACACATCAGTGAGTTTCTCTCTGTGTGTGTGTGTGTGTGTGTGTGTGTGTGTGTCCTCACCATCCAGACCATGACATAGGAAAAGCCAGCAATCCAGAGGGTGGAGGTGACGAAGGAGACCATGAACCATCTCTCCCAGCGAGGGTTGGCACAGTTAGGCACTGTGAAGAACAACAGCAGGCACAGAGGCCAGGCTAACATCCACTTGATCTTATTACAGCACCCAGCTAGAGAGAGAGATGGAGAAAGAGAGATAGGGAAAGAAGAAGAGATGCAGTTTCAATTTGTGTTCTTTGCTGGGTTTACATTAAGTGATGCTTTTAAAAAATACCTTTAGGCGAGTGTTGACTAACACAATAAAGAGAGCTCAGAGAGACTGAACATTTTTGAAACCCTGTAATGTTATATTTGTTTTTACCTGGGGCGTGAAAAGGCACAAAAGGTCCTTCCTCTGCCTCCTCCTCCTCCTCCTCCTCCTCCTCTTCATCGTTCTCATTATTCTCATTGTCTTCCGTCTCGTTGCCGGCCTCCACCCCTCCCCTGTCGTCCTCTCCATGGTGACCAAGGCGACCTTTGACTCCCCTCTCGGGCCCGCCCAGTCCGTTCTCCAGGCCCCGCCTACTGCCGACCTTCACCGTGACCTCTGAGTCTCCGTTAGTGAACGGCCGGGTGCTAATCAGACGCTGTCTCTTTACAAATACATGCACACGCACATGTCATATGCTGTACAAATATTTTCAAAATAAATATACAATTTCTTCACACCCACACAGAAAACAGAAACACGGCCACGTGTGCAGAAGGCGTGTGGTCATACCTCAGTGATGAGCATGCGTGAGGCCATGGAGAGGCGTGTGCGAGGGGAGAAGTGGCTGGTGATCATGATCCTCATGCCGGCTTCAGAGAAGGACAGCTGGTGGGGGTAGGCTGACAGCAACTCATCTACCATCAACACTGACTGCTTTCTGTGAAAGTTAGCTACAGGAGACAGAGAGACAGACAGAGAGACGTGAGAGAGAGAGAGATGTGACGAACACACACAGACACATGTATGGCAGAAAGGTCAGACTGTACTTTTCTTCAGCAGGACAGCGGTTGCATCACAGTTGTCATCCAGGTCAGCGTTACTGGCTGTGCCGTTCCCCAGGCTGGACGAGTTCTTCTTACGCCTCTCCAGGAAATGCACAATGTTTGAGTTAAACCTATACACATAAATGAACAATGTGAGAGTTAAACCAAGACAAAGAGGGACAGCACAAGGATGTGGATACAACTTTATACCTCTACTCAGGATACATTAAATTGTTTTGAAGTGTGTGTATTTGTTTGTGTGTGGTATTGATGGTTTCAGACACAGACTTACTTCATTATCAAAATGTAGCCAAAATACATCAGAACCAGTGTCAGAGACTCCCACCTGGAACACACATCAATTTTTAACAGCTATACAATGCAACACATAACATATAGGTGTATGTACTGTATACATAAGAAAGTGAAAGTCATCCTTACCATGAAACCTTTTCATCATATATGAACTGTAAGGAGACAAAAAATAATTATACTGAAAACTTGGAAGAATGATTGGAAGTACAGTATTAGCTTTTGTGGTTCACTTTTTCTCTGATGTAAACATTAGTATATGGATCCACTCTGTAGATACACCATCTGATCAGCAGGAGGCAACACACTAAGGCCCACTTCACTGGTTTGCAATGGTCAGGCTCCACTCACCACTATGAGAGCAGTGATGGACAGGGTGTAGTACACAGAGTCTCTCATAAGAGACCAACGAGACAGATGCACTGCCTGAGAGAGAGAGAGAGAGATCAGAGAGAGAAGGGGAGAGGGGGGAGAGAGAGGAACGGTCTGTAAGAGTGGAAGAGCCAACATTTCACCCCCAGGTATTCATCCCTTCCTATGTGTGTGCGTATGTGTGTGTGTGTGTGTGTGTGTGTCTGTGCAAGCCAAGGTACAGAAACCTACCTGGCCAGCAAATATTCCACAGACTCCAATGATGCAGAGGATATTGAAGACAGCTGAGCCCACGATCGTGCCCACCCCCACATCCCCTTTAGTGATGAACACACCTGCACAGAGACAGAGAAAAGACAGAACACCCATGGGTTATACAATGGTTAGGAATGGAGGGTTACACGCTTGTACATGTAAACTATTGACATGGCTAACATGTATACAGTTATATTGTATATCGTTGCCACTCATTAAAAATAAAATCAAAAGTGTTATTGTCCCATACACCGGATAGGTACAGTTTTACAGGGTCAGCCATAGTAGTACAGAGCCCCTGGAGCAAATTAGAGTTACGTGCCTTGCTCAAGAGAACACCAACAGATTTTTCACCTTGTCGGCTTGGGTATTTGAACCAGTGACTATTTGAACCGGGTACTGGCCCAACATTCTAACTACTAGGCTACCTGCCACCCTAAGACATAAAATATATTGGGCCTGCTGATAAAGTGATGAAAAAAGGTATCCCGCTGGGCACACCATGTCATTTCAACGTGGACATTTGGATGATATTTGGTTGATGAATGAGATTTCAACCTGTATTCACCCACTCAAAAAGACAGCCAGAAGTTTGTTGAATTACCAATGTGTTATAACTATGCTTTCAACCATCTAAAAGCAAAGCTAAGTTAAAAATGGGAATACAATGTCAGATATTTTGTATTTATACCACAGCATTGTTGAATACTCATTTTCTGATTGGTTAGAAGGGCATTCTAGAATGGACATTAAAACCAGATAACGGGACAGTTGAAATAGATATCGGGACACCTTGCAATCATGACGCAATATGCACCTACACACGCAGACCCTACTTGCTACAAAGTTACAGAAAGCTAAACCAACAACCACACAAACCAAAATTGGATACACTGTAAATGCAGGTCCAATGAGGAAAAACCTAACAAACAGCTATTGATTTGTTTTTGCAGAGACTTATTTTTTTGAGCTTCTGATGACCTAATGTGGTGAGTGATGAACATGAATTTCTCCGGTCTCTATGTTGCAGTCATGACGCAAGTGGCACTATGCTGTCAAATCCTCCCACGTTTCTAGTTTGACCAGATGTTTTCAGCAACTGGTATTTTTTTATTTGGTTGTCATATTGGCAGGTTTTCTAGCAACAAACTATTTAGCTAGCTTCTAGCCTAGTGTTTGATATGCAATGCAATGTCCTCGTAATGAAGGGTCGAGTGTCCTGACAAGAAGATAAACTTTTCTAGCTATGCCAGGCAAAATCGGGCATCATCAGCTCATTGTTATGGATGTATCCAAATGAATGTCAATAGAAAACAGCTTAAACAAAAGCAAATGCTGTGACTTTGTTGTTATTCTGGCTACAGAGGTTGTGACTGTGTTAGCTGTAGCTAGTTGGCTAGCTAGCAAGCAAGGGACAAGAACGTTGCCAGCGAGCATGGCAACGGAACATATACAGTGCATTCGGAAAGTATTCAGTCCCCTTGACTTTTTCCACATTTTGTTACATTACAGCCTTATTCTAAAATTGATTAAATCATTTTTTCCCCTCATCAATCTACACACAATACCCCATAATGACAAAGCAAAAACAGGTTTTTAGAAATCTGTAGAAATGCTTTAAAAATAAAAAAACTGCAATATCACATTTACATAAGTATTCAGACCCTTTACTCAGTACTGGTGCAGGTCTCTCCAGAGATGTTAGTTCGGGTTCAAATTAGGGCTCTGGCTGGGCCACTCAAGGACATTCAGAGACTTGTCCCGAAGCCACTCATGTGTTGTCTTGACTGTATGCTTAGGGTCGTTGTCCTGTTGGAAGGTGAACCTTCGCCCCCAGTCTGAGGTCCTGAGCACTCTGGAGCAGGTTTTCATCAAGGATCTCTCTGTACTTTGCTCCGTTCATCTTTCCCTCGATTCTGACTAGTCTCCCAGTCCCTGCCGCTGAAAAACATCCCCACAGCATGATGCTGCCACCACCATGCTTCACCGTAGGGATGGTGCCAGGTTTCCTCCAGACGTGACACTTGGCATTCAGGCCAAAGAGTTCAATCTTGGTTTCATCATACCAGAGAATCTTGTTTCTCATGGTCTGAGAGTCCTTTAGGTGCCTTTCGGCAAACTCCAAGCGGACTGTCATGTGCCTTTTACTGAGGAGTGGCTTCCGTCTGGCCACTCTACCATAAAGGCCTGATTGGTGGAGTGCTACAGAGATGGTTGTACTTCTGGAAGGTTCTCCCATCTCCACAGAGGAACTCTGGAGCTCTGTGAGAGTGACCATCAGGTTCTTGGTCACCTCCCTGACCAAGGCCCTTCTCCCCAGATTGCTCAGTTTGGCCGGGCAGCCAGCTATAGGAATAGTCTTGGTGGTTCCAAACTTCTTCCATTTAAGAATGATAGAGGCCACTGTGTTCTTGGGGACCTCCAATGCTCCAGACATTTTTTTGTACCCTTCCCCAGATCTGTGCCTCGGCACAATCCTGTCTCGGAGCTCTACGGACAATTTCTTCATCCTTATGGCTTGGTTTTTTCTCTGGCATGCACTGTCAACTGTGGGACCTTATATAGACAGGTGTGTGCCTTTCCAAATCATGTCCAATCAACTGAATTTACCACAGGTGGACTCAATCAAGTTGTAGAAACATCTTAAGGATGATCAATGGAAACAGGATGCACCTGAGCTCAATTTCGAGTCTCATAGCAAAGGGTCTGAATACTTAAATAAAGTATTTCTGTTTTTAAATTTTAAGAAATTTGCTAAATTTCTAAAAACCTGTTTTCGCTTTGTCATTATGGGGTATTGTGTGTAGATTGATGAGGATTTTTATTTATTTAATCAATTTTAGAATAAGGCTGTAACGTAACAAAATGTGGAAAAAGTCAAGGGGTCTGAATACTTTCCGAATGCACTGTATATGTATTGTCTATTTTCAGTTTCTGATAGTGTATATAACGTTGAAGATCTGACGTTGTATCAAAGGTACAAATTCAAGATATTTTATACAAGCTTTGTCTAAGTTGAAAATTGGTTACAATGATGACATAAACCAATGTATTTTCCACGTAGATTCCACATCACAATACGTTGACAAATTACGTTGAAAAAACATTGATTCAACCAGTTTGTGCCCAGTGGAATGTGTCTAATAAATGACAAAGATGTGTCCATCTGTGTGTCTGTACATGTCTCACCGATAACAGAGGTGAAGAGTTCAGGAGCTGAACTGCCGGCTGCCATGAAGGTTGCACCTGCCACATCCTCACTAAGATGGAGACGCTGAAAGAGAGAGAAAGAGACAGAGAGACAGAGAGAGACAGAGAGAGACAGAGAGAGACAGAGACAGAGACAGAGACAGAGAGTAGAAAGCACATCTTGAAAAGAAGAATTGTGTCCTTGAAATTCATTCCAATTGAATTGACCCCGACCCTGTTATAGAATAGTGTATAACATTCTTACCTCACATATCTTCTCCAGAGAGGGAACAAAGTAGTCATCACACACCAGAGCCAGCGCATAGAACATGTACATGGCCTACAGAGGAATAGCACAAAACAAACCAGAACACATATATGGAACCTTGAGTTTCTCCATGTGATGCACAGATAGTGTCCCTTAGTTCAATGCGTCTGTCTTTTCTGCGAAAGTATGCTAAGCCAAGACACTCTCTGTGCCAGTGGCCTCGTATACCAGCTAAGCCTCTGTCCAACATCTAGCACCCCAGCCAGCCAGAGATAAAAACAATCCTGCTTTTCGATGTATGGTCAGCGCATCACACAGTCAGTGGCAGGTAGCGTGGCAAAAGTGCATGTATAGTAGAGTGTGTGTACAGGTGTGTGTTGGTGTGTGTAGAGTAGATAGTGTGTTGGTGGGTGTGTTGGGGGGGGGGGGGTGGACACTCACAAACAGGACGTGTAGGGCCACCGCTCCCTCTGTGCGCTCCTGGTTGGTGAACAGGTCTGTGGGGAACTCATGTAACGCTGGAGAGAAAACACACACACAGCAAATACACACACAGAAAACACACATATATTACTAAACAGGGAGAAACACGGTCTCATTTAGTGCAGCAGAGACACGTGCACTGGCACAATCATACACAGTCTATTTGAGTGACAGGACCTAAAAATAGCCTCGCCATGATTGTGTGTTTGTTTGTGTGTATTTGTGAGTGGAGCAGTGTGTGTGTGCACGCGTGTTGATGGCGGCACAATGTGCGGTGACATTCTCCCTCTGAACACCCAAGAGGTTGTGTGAGTCAGCCAGCTTCAGTCTGCCCTCAGTGCCCAAACACAACACAGCCATCTGAACTCATAGGAATTGACAAGGTCCCAGAAAGAGAGAGAGAGAGAGAGAGAGAGAGAGAGAGAGAGAGAGAGAGAGAGAGAGACAGAGGGGGGATTTGAAGAGAGGGAGCGAGCAAGAGAAAGAGAGATAGAGAGAGAGGAGAGCTGGATGAGTGGCAGAGAGAGCTAAGCCATGGGTGGGAGCGGGGAACAAGGGGATATGACCAGATTTGAGAAAAGATGAAGGAGCACGGATGTTGGTGTAGGGAAAAGACAAGGACATGGTGAGAGAAAGAGGAAAAGAAAGGGGTGGTTAGATGAGATGTGTGGGTGGGTGGGGAAGTGAGTGAATTATGGAGGGTTGACACAGACACTATTATCCAGAGTGGCTTTCAAAGAGTTTGTTCCAGTAAACTGAATCAACTACATAGTACTATAATGGTTAGAAAACCGTGCTTCAAAACGCCCCCTCCCTCCCCCACTCCCTTCAACTCAGGAAGCTGGAAAGCTTTGGCATGGGCCCTCGGATCCTCAAAAAGTTCTACAGTTGCACCACATTTTACTCTTATTATTATAATCTATCCTGATGCCTAGTCACCTACCATTACAGATGCAAACACTAAAGCAAGAAAATAATCCTGAAGCAATTATTATGTGGATTATAATTATGGGACATTTTCGTAGGTGTTGATATATTTTTCATTAGGGCAAATCAAGTCTGAAATTAGGAATTGAAAATTTTAGAAGCCTTTTTAAACCTCAAATAAATTACGTTTGCATTTCCTGCTGTGAAGGGAAATTCTCAGCAACAAAAGAGTGATCAGATTAAGATCCTACCTTTGTATGTACATATCTACCTCAAATACCTCGTACCCCTGAACAGTGATATCGTACTTGTACTCCCTGTATATACACTGAACAAATATATAAAACGCAACATGCAGCAATTTCAAAGATTTTACTAAGTTACAGTTCATATAAGGAAATCAGTCAATTGAAATAAATTCATTAGGCTCTAATCTATGGATTTCACATGACTGGGAATACAGATATGCATCCGTTGGTCACAAATACCTTAAGAAAAAGGTATCTCATGCAGCGTGACACATCTCCTTCACAGAGAGTTGATCAGGCTGTTGATTTATGGTCTGTGGAATGTTGTCTTACTCCTCTTCAATGGCTGTGCGAAGCTGCTGGATATTGGAGGGAACTGGAACACGTTGTCCTACACGTTGATCCAGAGCATCCAAAACATGCTCAATGGGTGACATGTCTGGTGAGTATGCAGGTCATGGAAGAACTGGGACATTTTCAGCTTCCAGGAATTGTGTACAGATCCTTGCGACATGGGACCGTGCATTATCATGCTGAAACATGAGGTGATGGCAGTGAATGAATGGCACGAAAATAGGCCTCAGGATCTCGTTACGTTATCTCTGTGCATTCAAATTGCCATAGATAAAATGCAATTGTGTTCATTTTCCGTAGTTTATGCCTGCACATACAATAACCCCACCGCCACCATGGGGCACTCTGCTCACAACGTTGACATCAGCAAACCGCTAGCCCACACAGCACCATACACGCTGTCTGCCATCTGCCCATTACAGTTGAAACCGGGATTCATCAGTGAAGAGCACACTTCTCCAGCATTCCAGTGGCCATCGAAGGTGAGCATTTTCTCACTTAAGTCGGTTACGACGCCAAACTGCAGTCAGGTCAAGACCCTGGTGAGGATGACGAGCATGTAGATGAGTTTCCCTGAGACAGTTTCTGACAGTTTGTGCAGAAGTTCTTCAGTTGTGCAAACCCACAGTTTCATCAACTGTCCGGGTGGCTGGTCTCAGACGATCCCGCAGGTGAAGAAGCAGGATGTGGAGGTCCTGGGCTGGCGTAGTTACACTTGGCCTGCGGTTGGGAGGCCGGTTGGGCGTACTGCCAAATTCTCTAAAACGACGTTGGAGGCGGCTTATGGTAGAGAAATGAACGTAAAATTCTCTGGCAACAGCTCTGGTGGACATTCCTGCTGTCAGTATGGCAATTGCACACTCCCTCAAAACTTGAGACATCTGTGGCATTGTGTTGTGTGACAAAAATGCACATTTTAGAGTGGCCTTTTATTGTCCCCAGCACAAGGTGTACCTGTGTAATGATCATGCTGTTTAATCAGCTTCTTGATATGTCACACCTGTCAGGTGGATGGATTATCTTGGCAAAAGAGAAATGCTCACTAACAGAGATGTAAACAAATTTGTGCACATCATTTGAGAGAAATAAGCTTTTTGGTCATATGGAAGATTTCCGGGATATTTTATTTCAGCTCATGAAACATGGGACCAACACTTTAAATGTCGCGTTTATATTTTTGTTCAGTATAGCTTCATTCTTGTGTATTTTATTATTCTTGTGTTACTATTTTTCATTTGTATTGTTTTTTTAACTCTGCATTTTTGGGAAGGACTCATAAGTAAGCATTTCACAGTAAAGTCTACACCTGTTGTATTCGGAGCATGTGACAAATAAAATGAGGTTGATCCCTCCCTTCCTATCACCATCCCTTCAGTGCAGTACAGACACATTCTCAGAGTAGGCACCACTGTACCATTCAGCTGGCAGGTCAGCAACAAACCGGAATGCATTTTACACAATGGCTTTGCAGCCAAAGCAGGCAGGCCCAGGGCTATTGTCCACTCTGTACCCAGTGCTGCCTACTCTTATACAGGGCAATCACTCAGGGAGCCACTCACCCAACCAACTCTGCTGCCAACAGCGCAACTAACAAGTATGGCTTCACTACTCAGAGCTCCACACACAAACACACAGACACATACAAAGGCACACACACTCGGTGCGAGTAATTACAAATACCTCAACCACACGCCAACCAGCAAAAACAAACCAACAAATAACTACATCAACAACAACAAACAACAGCATAACAAGAGCTGGCAAGATGATTAGATAAACAAGATAGCTCCCTCCACCAATACAGAGAGGGCTTTTGTGTTGGAGTTCACTTCAGCTTAGTTCAGTTCAGTGATTCTTGGTAGTGGCGAGGGTTGGGGTCAATTTAGTCCATGAATCCACTGAATAAAGCCCTCACTGTTTCATGTTTTGGGGCATCTTTTACCATCTCATTCTCCCTAGTCTTACCACATAACAGAGGATCAAGCTCTTTCTAGTATGGCCCTTTGCACTTTGTTTTGAAGCAGTATGAAAGCATACAGTGCATTCGGAAATTATTCAGACCCCTTCCCTTTTTCCACATTTTGTTACGTTACAGCCTTATTCCAAAATGGATTAAATAAATAAAAATCCTCATCAATCTACACTCAATACCCCATAATGACAAAGCGAAAACAGGTTTTTAGAAATTTTTGCAAATGTATTAAACTATATATATTAAACTATATTAAACTATATGTATTAAAAAACAGAAATACCTTATTTACATAAGTATTCAGACCCTTTTCTGTGAGACTCGAAATTGAGCTCAGGTGCATCCTGTTTCCATTGATCATCCTTGAGATGTTTCTACAACTTGATTGGAGTCCACCTGTGGTTGATTGGAGTCCACCTGTGGTAAATTCAATTGATTGGACATGATTTGGAAAGCCAGACACCTGTCTATATAAAGTCCCACAGTTGACAGTGCATGTCAGAGCAAAAACCAAGCCATAGAGCTCCGAGACAGGATTGTGTCGAGGCAGAAACCTGACAGGTGTCACATATCAGGAAGCTGATTAAACAGCATGATCATTACACAGGTGCACCTTGTGCTGGTGACAATAAAAGGCCACTCTAAAATCTGCAGTTTTGTCACACAACACAATGCCACAGATGTCTCAAGTTTTGAGGGAGCGTGCAATTGGCATGCTCACTGCAGGATTGTCCACCAGAGCTGTTGCCAGATAATTTAATTTTAAATTCTCTACCATAAGCCGCCTACAACGTCATTTTACAGAATTTGGCAGTACGTCCAACCGGACTAAAAACCATGCCAGCCCAGGACCTCCACATCTGGCTTCTTCCCCTGTGGGATCGTCTGAGACCAGCCACCTGGACAGCTGATGAAACTGAGGAGTATTTCTATCTGTAATAAAGCCCTTTTGTGGGGAAAAACTAATTCTGATTGGCTGGGCCTGGCTCCCCAGTGAACTGTAATCTTGAAATTGTTGCATGTTGCGTTTATATTTTTGTTCATTATAGTATAATTGAATATGTTCGAAACAGTGGCAGCATGTGCAGCAGTGGTCATTCAGTTTTTGACATGCAAAAGTAAATTGGTGTATTTATGCTGTTGTTCAAATGCATAGATCGCTTTATTTATCTTTTCAAAAAAACTACTGGTAGTTCGAAAACTTGGCATCATATTTCTTTGTTGATAACTCCAACCACCCTGCGCCCCGGGTATTCAGCCAATCAGCAGCAGCCACTGGTTTCCCAGTTAGGATTAAGCCCTAAGAGGTGTGAGTGTGAAGGTTTAGAGAGGAGAGGGGTGTGTGGAGGGCTGGAGAGGAGGAGGCCAGACTGACAGGTCATGCCCACAGAGACTCTCCTCAGCCTGGCATTGGGATAAAACACCCCTGCAGGAATGACAAAGCTCCACGTCCACATACAGTGGGGAGAACAAGTATTTGATACACTGACGATTTTGCAGGTTTCCTACTTACAAAGCATGTAGAGGTCTGTAATTGTTATCATAGGTACACTTCAACTGCGAGAGACGGAATCTAAAACAAA